CAGCAGAACATCAGGTCCTCAGAGACCAGAGCCAAGCAAGTATCGTAATTATTTCTCATAATTAGCGACTAATTTACATGCAATGCGTCAGATGGGGTGACTGCAAATAACTTCTAGCACGGAAATGAGGAACGGAACGTCCCAAATCCCACAGGGACCAGGATTCCCAGGCATTAGCAACTGATGATCCTGCAAGTGATGCAAAAAAAATGGATCTGTGATAGGATCACAGCACCTGTGGTCTCTGACAGGAAGTGGGGGAGGAGTCAAGACACAGAGACGGTGTTACATAGATACAGGAGATTTTATTTAACAGTTCGTGTACAAATAGAGACTTCAAACGTCTTCCCAGAATTTCATTTCCGGACACAGCAGTATTCCTCGCAGAAACGCCATCAGAACTCCAATGCCGACTTGGGGAAGGAATCAAATAATTAAAATATCAAACCCAGCTTAGCCTTTCACCGCTGCAGCCGGTCAACGAGCTCCCCATCGAGTCAGACAGCACGGCAGACCTTGGCCACAGAAAGATCACCTGAATTAAATATGAGTCTTTTACACGCCTCTCAGAATGGGAGAACATGGGTCATTGATCACACAGTGGTCAAGGGTATGTAATATCAAACCATCCACAGACAAATTAGACAACATCTCATTTTAATCCCAACATATTTTACATATTTAATGAATATTATTATAGCTAATCTTACACAAGCTTTTTCCACAGAAAAAGGCCAGAACCTCTGACCCGAGACACAGTTGTGGAATGACTACTGATTGAAATTAAACTCTTCCTTACGCTAATTCTAGCTGAACCTTTCGTTTAATATAACCCTCCATCCTTTCAAAGCTTTTCCTGTCATCGCCGTTATCAGTAAGAACAAACAATCAAGACAAACAAACAAAACACAAGACAAGCATGTGAAACCAGTACTTTGGGTAATTTTAGCATAAACGCAAACCAAAAATATGAATGAACGGACAGGGAAATGGTTCTGAAAGGGGAAAATTTTGCACCTGCCAGTTCAGCTGTGCACTTAATCTATACCAAAAACAAAAGAAGAAAAAGGCATCGGAACCAAAGAAAAAGTCTGTTTCTGCCACCACTTCTGCAATACAATGTAATCACTAAAAGATGAACTTGCTGGTGCAACATTCCTGCGATCAGAGATGGTCACGGAGAGGGGATGGATAGATCATTCTGAGCAGTGAGGTAGTAAGAAGGAGTGAGAGTGGGAAAACGCACAACATACTTACGTACCGCAATTATCAACAGTTTCATCGGCGACTCGATACTACAAGCAATATGGTGGCGAACTTATCTGCACAAATATAGACGAGTGGGGCCCCGAGATCGCAGCCAGTGGACCGAACACATGGCCGTTAACACTGGGCAGCTGATGGCAGGAGGCACAACATCAAACAGTCATCACTGCATTGCAGGAGCTCTAACCAAGGACTGAAATGTATCTAATTTATATGACAATGTTCTATGACAATGACGGGATATTTGACATGATCTATATATTTATGCTGGATATATCAACAAATACGTACCTTATAAATATATAAATGTATGCACGTCAAACTTACTATGACAACAAGCAGACCAATGGGATTCCGAGGCTCCCGCATGCCGTTTCTCCTTATAAAATGTACACAGACCGACCTACATAAAATCGCCAACATCCCGCCTCCCCCGCCCCCTTCCTTCATGAGGTCCGTATCCGAAACTCGGCAGCACCGTTACAGGTGATCAGTGGGGACACCACAGTGACAGGACCACTATAAAAACATTTTCCCCCGCCTCCTAATTCACAAACACCAGCCGGGTATGTTGCAGTTCAGGCCTCCCATCTGCAGGCCAGCTTTGTACATACCAACGCAGCAAAGATTTCCGAAACAAATGACGATGACGTGAAGCAACAAACGAAGACAAAAATAATAGGACACACATTACACACAACAAATAACATCCCAACATGCCTGCATGTTCTAACCAAGACACAAAACTTATCTTATTACTATCAGTCTGTATTTAAACCAAAATAATTTACCTTTTCTTAACTATCCTTCAAAAAAAAACTGCCAAACTGTTACCTTTTCCAGAATGAGATACAGGTAAAAACTTTGGCACAGTGGTGCTGCTCTTGCTGAGGTCCCAGAAAAGCTAAAGAAAACAATATAGACCCTTCCCCCAGACTCAGGATCCACCAAGGGCACGATGTGTCCCAAAACGTGACGGCGATGGCCCCTGAGCACTCGCAGTACACGATGTGCCTTCCAACTGAAGTGCTTATCAGTATTACAGACATACATCCTGGCACGGACGCTCTTATCTGTGATAACTACAGAAGAAACTGAATAATTAAATCCAAAGCAGCTTAAATGACTGGGAATGTGCCAGTAGAATTATAATATAACACAGGAATCAGCGCTTTTATTTTCATTATTTTCCTTGGGCGGAATCGGCCGCGAGCAGATGACAACCTCACTGACCCATCACCTTCTTCTGAAGACACCTCAGAGCGGCAGCTCTTCCAGCTGCCAGCATGACCTCCGACACAAAGCTTTCAGAGCGCGCATGTCCCATCTGAATTTACTACTCCAACAAAGCAGAACAAAACAAAACAACTCTACAGACAATGAAGCAGAACTTCGCAAACCACTTTGTTCTCTCGTCGACATTTTTCCCGAAGGAGACAGGACGTGAAAATGCGGATCGCTGCAGTCCAGGAAATATGGCTTCTGATTTATGGGTCAACCATACAAAAAAGTGACCATTTGGGCACCTCCTCAGCCAAGGGAATATAGGGGCTCAAGGACAGACCAAGTGACACCATTACACCCCCACGGTGTCAATGCCCTTTCCATCTATAAACATCACTAGTCTAGTAATTCTTCCCCTGACAAAAACACACAACCAACCCCCCCCCCCCCCCCCCCCCCCCCCCCCCCCCCCCCCCCCCCCCCCCCCCCCCCATTTTTCCGACAGTGATGAATTCCTTCCAGAATGGAAGTGAAAGCAGTCTTAATATCACACCCTCCCCTGGGCTGAACTCCAGTGGATCGCTGCTGATCTCTTGATTCCTCCTTCCATGACAATCGTGACGTGTCCCTCCCCTTCTCTGATTTGCTGTATCCCTCATCAAAAATCCCCAAGATGTCCCTGGCAGTGGAATAAACACACGTCACTCAATACTGGCAACCTCAGAGAGCTCCTTGGGGACTTATTCAGGTGAACTCAGCTGCTCTAAAATATCCTAAGAGTGAGTCTGGCCACAGGTCCCTCTCATGGAACAGCCTCCCCCTTGGCCAATCACAATGAAATGGAACAAGCTACCCATGATGCTTTGCGGCTACAGTACCCACACAATAGAAAGCTGTTTTTAAGTCATGGTGGTTCATTACAAGCAGGGAAAACAAAAATGCATCTACTACTTCTCTTAACAGCTGGTCAGTCTCTAATGGAACTCCTGTGAGGTGTTGGACGGTATTCATCTTCTCCACAGTGGCCTTATGAGCATTGCACATAAGCTATAGGCTTCTAAAGTAAAACACTAAGGTACAGACTTTACGAAAAGCAAACTTCAGTTTGCACAGAACTTCTCACGCCAGTGAAGCGATGTGATTTAGGGATGCCACTTTCGCGTCCTTGCTTCTCATGGAAATTGGTAAGCTTCTGGCGCCCCCTGGGGGCTGTGCTGTGAAACACAAGTCAGGGCAGGAGCAATCCTGCCACAACTGCTATCCAGGAGAGGAATGGGGGAAGGGGAGCGCAAAGGATCTTCAGCCACGGAGGGTTTTCCCTAAGCTCTGTCTTCTGCTGTCCCTCGCTCGCTCTCTTTCTCTCTCTCTCTCGCTTTTTGCATTCTTCCTCCAACATCGACGGCCGAAGGGCTACACCTCTGTGGAGAAGAGAATGCTCTGACGCTTGCTGTCAGGTGTGGGGATGGTCTCCAGCTGCAGAAAGTAGAGAAGCACTTGGACCTGGGACCGAGAGGACAGAAGAACAAGCGTGAGTAAGAGTAGATGCAAGAGGAAGAGTATTACAACCAGACTTCAGAATAGACAGACCCTGCTATACCTGGGACATGACCTCCAGCGACCAGCTGTCACTCATGCTAATGGGCTGCGTGGGATTGGCTGGGATCTTGCTGTCCTTCTCAGAGGGCCGGAGCAAGGTGGGACCAAAGACAGTGGCCAGGTTGTGCAGGGACATCTTGTTGATGCTCTCTTTCTCAGCCACCCTTGCGGAGTTGGGAAAGGGGGAGACAGAGTCAGCAAGGGTGTACGAGCCAAAATATACCTGTGAAATTTTGAGTTATATATTGATTTGGGTTTATGGATTGTAGGTGCAATAGGTCTTGTGTTGCTGATGGAGATTATTTTGTAATTATTATTTACAGTGATATATATATATCAGATTAAGTTCATGCTTGTGCCTTTGTGCATTAATAAGTAATTAGCTGGTCTGTGGAGGACGGAGCCCATGGCCTTTTGACCTCTGTCTCGCACTTTATTTTTGAAGTACCTCAAAAACACTTTGTTACACAGAAAATTTTGCATGTACCGTTATATTATTTAATTTATAAAATAGTTTTAAGTTATGCGAGTGGCTGCGTATTTCTTTCCCTTTTCTGCAGATCAGATGTGAGAGAGAAAGTGTCAACCTAAGGTTCATTTTCGGGATTGGAACCTACGCAGGGTCTCGAATGACAGGGGGAGACAAGAGATCACACCATCATGAAACCAAACCCTCAGTCCACCAGAAATGACCAATGACTGTGCATTCCGGTAGCCGTGGGGAACAAGCCAGGAGAGGTACACGAAAGTCTGATGCCTCGAACCTCTTAAGGTGGTCCAGCAGGAAGAGGAAAGTGACCAGGTTGGGCTCTGGGAGTGACAGCAGCAGGTTCAACATGCAGCTCTCTTTGGCCACGCTGTCAGACAGAGCTGCAGGAATATATGGGAATATGGGGGGGGGGGGGGCAGAGCAAATGAGACACATGCACAGGTGAGACAAACACGAGGACACGAACAGAAAGGTCGTTGCAGGTGACCTTAGCTATTACACATTACTCTCAGCAGATTATAAAATTATAAGTGAAGTACCTTAAATTCACAAACCTACACCTACATGATGCCGGCGACGGGTCAAACGAAACTTAATCCTGTCATTCGGGACAAAGGATGCAGCAAAGGACGGTTGCCTTAAAACAAGCAGTTCATTGGCTATTCCAGGGTGGGCGAGACTGACCGACGCCCACGGCGAAGTTGGAGTACAGCTCGTCGGTGAAGAGCGGCTCCGGAAGGTCCCGGAAGTACAGCTTCAGGGTGCCGGCGATGGCGTTGACGTCCATCTCGCTCATCATCACCGACACGTCTTTGTTATCTGAAAAAACGGGTGGAGAGGGCTGGATCAGTGATGCGGAGGGGTAGCGTTACCATGCCGACTAGCGAGCTGCCCCAGTGAAACCTAGCTGAGCTTCACATAATACGGAAAAAACTAAAATTAAAGCTTCATGTGCCATTTGCACAAGGACACTAAAATGCTTCTTTTGGCATTTCCCATCTTGTTCACCCTTTTGAGACATAAATCCCAAATACAGCTGAGAGTAAAGCTTGGGGTTTGAGTGCAGGGTCAGGCTATTTATCTGGCACTCCTAGAGCATTTTGGGGGATTAAGGGCTTTGCTAAAGGACCCAGCATAGGTGTCACTATTCCACCAATGCCGGGACTCAAACAGGTGACCTTCTGATCATGGGCGTAGGGGCCCAAAGCTGCTGAGCAGCACAGAGCCTCCCATAATATAATCATGGATAAGGTTGGGCGATGTCTACCTAACTTGTATATGACGATGTCAGATTGTAGAGGAGGTGGGTGCAACCAACCAGAGAAGGCAGGACCAATATATTTAATTGGTTGGTCCCGCCTCCACTAGTTGATTGGACACCGCAACTCTACAATGTCATTGGTCATCTCTCTGAACCAATCACTTTTCCTTTTGCCCTCAGAATATTTTTGTGCAAGAAAAATTTTGGGGGCAGCGTGTGGGTCAATTGGGCAAAGCCTGTGTGCCTGTAATTACAAGGTCGCCGGTTCAAACCCAGCCTCAGCATGTCTGCGGGTCCTTGAGCAAGGTCCTTAACCCCCAGCTCCCTGGGCGCCCCAACAGGTGCCTGCCCTTCGCGGACAACTTACTCTACAGAGAGCAAGTTGAGGGAGGCGTAAAGACAATTTCCCCACGGGGATCAATAAAGTATCGATTATTATTATTATTATTATTACTATTACTATTAAGAACTCCCATGAGCTAATCATAAGAACATAAGAACATAAGAAATTTACAAACGAGAGGAAGCCATTCGGCCCATCAAGCTCGTTTGGGGAGAACTTAACTAATAGCTCAGAGTTGTTAAAATCTTATCTAGCTCTGATTTAAAGGAACCCATGGTTTTAGCTTCCGCTACACTAGCAGGAAGACTATTCCATGCTCTAACTACACGCTGTGTAAAGAAGTGCTTCCTCAAATTTGTTTTAAAATGTTCTCCCACTAAGAAGCCAAAACAGCAAGGCTAAACACCAGATGCTAGTCAGCGAGTGTCATGTTCATATACAAAAACAGAAGATGTAATAACAAGCCCATGTAGGGTATGAGACTAAAGAGTGACACAGAGAGCAAAGAGCAAATGTGAGCTGAGGATGGGCTTGGGCTCAGGACTTCAGGGACGCTGCATAAATAGATGAATGGAGACAGCACTCACTGGCGTCGAAGGCGGCCTTCAGGGCCTGGATGTCAGTGGCTACTCCTGACACGCGGTAAATGCCCACTTCCTCCATGCCCCTGCGTTCGATCTCCTCCAGACACTGTCGGACAATGTAGGGCACCTTGGAGTGCTCCCGCCTGGAAGGAGTACACCAAGAACAATCAGGCAACAGCACGACCTTCTGCTTTACCATCGTGCCCAGCTCCCCGTAACCACCCACTCCTTTGCAAGTACCAAGAGAGTAACCAAGACCACAAGCTTAATGATGCAAACTCTGCTGGCCCCAAATTCAACCATGAGAAGCCATTAGAGGCCCCTTCTGGCATGTCATCCTTATCGCCTAGGTTGGCTCTGCTCCGAAATCCACTCTCATCTCCTCCCCAAAAGCCGTCGACACCATAATACCTCAAAGGCCATAAGTAAGAGCTTCAGATGAGCAGAACACTTCCACCCTCTGATCCAAAGAGGGAAGAGTGGTCTGCTTCCCCCCATTCTCTCTTGAGATATTATAGTGAATGACACACGGTCTCAGATCTCAGACCGTTTAACCACAGGTAACTATGTGGGACTTTGAGTTCCATATCCCTCAAAGGAGCACGGAGAACCATGATCCACCCTGTTCCCAGCTATAACAGACTATTCTGTCCCAACCAGATTTTAATACTACTTTCTGAGTGGCTATGGCTTGGAAATGGGAGAGTCGATGCACCTTAGCAGTTCCACAGAGAGCAATACGTCACAGGTGAGATGACGATGACACTCACTTGGTCACCACGGAGATTTTCACCCCGAACACGCCAGCCTGTTTCTGTGACGACAGCCTCTTCAGACTGAACTCACGGCTAGTGAACTTCATGGAGAGCTTCACTTCGATCTAGGAGGGAAGCAAAATCATGCCATCGTGTAGCCAGTTTGTGCATTTGTGCGTGTTGTGTGTATATGTGCATTTGTGCACCCAGTGCTGATTTCCTGCTAATGTGTTTAAGCATGTTTACATGTGTTTAGGTGCTGGACTGAAATTGCCCTGGACGGCAGCCTGTTCCTCCTGTGCGTCTGAAACCACCTTACTCACCCCGTTCATGGGGACCACTGTTCTCTGCCAATCCTTTCCTTGGAGGCTCTGGGGGTCCAGCTATAAAAAAAGAGAGGTCAGCCACCACAGAACTCAATGCAGCGTGACATTTCATGAGCTGGATCTAATTTGATGGTTGGTTTCGTAGACATAAAATGACTAAAACGCACATTAACATTCTCTATCAAAATAAACTATGTATTAATAGCAATAATAGGATATATTTAGGTTGTGTTCAGGAGTTCACACCCCGCCCCCCCCCCCCCCCCCCCGCCCCAAAGATCACTCAGGTGATCAAGCGTTTGTTCTCAGCTGACCCAGTTTCTGGGACAGTTTAGCCTCAAAATGACACCCCCCCTCCCACAATCCCAGCGTAATGTAATGTCCAGGAAAGCTTCCAATTCCATCAAAATGTGAAGCCAGCAGCCATTAAAATGTGAATTACACAGCTCTGCATAACACCCCAAATCAGGGGTCAAACACCATGATGAATTCTGATGGACATTTTTAGCAAAATGCAATGTTTACCCCAGAAGTGGCGTTTCAAATCGAGGCTTACACAGTATTTTTTTCTCAATCAGAACATTCTGCCACAGACACAGACGGGTCTCGCCACAGACACCTTTGTCCGGGTATGGACAGGTTAACGACCCCCCCCCCCCCGTATGTTAGTACATTACCCACTTATCACATGCTGCCCAGATAAAAGCTACCACTCACGTACACAGCCAGATATTTACAAATCCAATCCAAGTCAAGCTGAAAAACCTCAGCTCCCTCTGCATCCATCGCCGTGGGTCACACCCAGACTCAAACTCACCGGCAGCACATTTATGCCTTATCAGATTATTATGGATCCCATTTTCTCCTGGTTGAGGGACCAGGGGGTAAAGGGAAGCAGATGGTGTGACCTTCATATGACAGCTAGCCAAGGGAAAACAGCACGGAACAACCCAGAAACTCACAGAGGTCAGTACTGAGGTCAGGGAGTGCTGAGGTCAGTGGGCACAGGGGAACCCTGGTAAATGGTTTAGCCAGAGAACAGTAGTACACTGTCTTCACCCCGATGTCCCAGAAGGCTGTGCGGTGACATATTCCGCACCCCGTACACTTACACGTCACAGCGAGTCAGAACCACAGTCAGCTTCTCTCCTGTCTCCCCCAAAACCACACAAATGTTGACACTCTGAACCCCCCCCCCCCCAACCCCCAGACCACACGGGCACCAGCGTCGCCTCCCGTTGCCCCTCCTAGTCCCCGCTTCGCCACTTTACCTTGCGCCTCCGCAGGACATCGCGCACACGCTCCCAGAGCCTCAAACCTGCAGCCGCACCCGGCCCCTCGGCCGCCACAGAGCAGCTGCTGCGCAGGCGTGCGCAGACCCCACCCTGTGTCTGCTCTATGCTCGCCATGGCCTCGGACCCAGGTGGTGACAAAAAAAAAAACGTACAAAAACGATAAAAAAAGAAACTCTGTGGCCCCCGCAGTTCCTCTAAAACAAATGTGGACTAATCCAGAACCTGGACCTCCTGAGCATGCGGTCACTCCAGCGCCGGTGCGTCAGTCTGTCCCGGCTGGCTGGCTTCATTCCCGCAGTGTCCTCCCCCCTCTGCTCCTCCGCAGCCCCTCAACCCCCTCACCTCCCCCCGGAGTGTAACCGCTCTATTGTTCGCCGTCCACCCACCCTCCATCCCTAATCCCCTGCTCAAGTTGGTGTCCAAGCACCCCAGCACGTGCGCACACTAAACCAAGCACACAGAGGCACGCTCTGCTCACCCCCCCTCGATAGATGCTAAACCGCTTACTCATCCCCACCCTGATCATGTGCCTCGGGGCAATGAGATGACCCCCAGTTCATGGATTTGTTCCTGCCGAAAACACGACTGACAAACAGAGGATGGGTCCACCTGAGCCTCAGAAAAGACCGACCCCACCTTGCACTAGAGTTGCAAAATTCTGGGAACTTTCCAATTAATTCCCATACATTCCCATTAATTTCCATGGAAAGTTAATAACTTGGGGTATTTCCAAAATTCCCCATCTTAACTTCCCATGGAATGGAAAGTTTTTGGAAATTAAATTTAAATAATCTGCTGTTAGCATGGCAGCCAGGGGCAGAATCCATATGTCCCTTCGTTGTTTTGCCCTTGAGTGAAATACTAAACATACACAACTTTAGTCCAGAAAGATATCACCAGAAAAAACAGCTATATTAAAATTCACTTCGGATTTACTCAAATAAAATCAATTCCATTCTGAACATAAGTAGCAGGCTACCATATAAATATAAGTACTATTACAGAGCTTCATTAAAGATCTTCAGCTCCCAACCAGAGGTGGAGATTTCAGGTCTATAGAGTACAAATCCAGACCAGGATTTTGTTTCAACCAACCAGATGTGTTTAAAAAGTCACAGAGTACTCAATTGGTTGGTTGAAACAAAATCCTGGTCTGGATTTGTACTTTCTGGACATGAATTTTCCACCTCTGTAACGGATTACTTTTGTGAGTAATTTCCCCAACACTACTGCTATGGATTCTCAGGGATGTTTACTGTGAAAAGCCAGTAAGCCTGAAACGGACGAGGAAGAAGGCCACCCTACCAGGACCTGCCCTTTTCCCATGATCCTATCTGTACTCTCCCCATCGTCCTTGTTCAGACGGCTCTTGCTGTAGCACTTCTCATAGCAAAGCAGCCGCAGCGTCTGCGATCCCTCCAGTTCGATCTCGAACTCCTGAAGGCCAAAGACAAGACTCCGACAGTAAGACTCAGTGATGGAGAGGCAGAAAAACAGAGGTTTGGTGAAAAAAAGAGAACATCATCTCGTGTAACTGCTATAATCTGAATCTGGTAGCTAAGGGAACTGAATTGCAATTTATTAAGCAGTCAAAGAATGCAGCGGATTCATGATATTTTGAATATAAGACCTTTATTTTGTAAGTGATGGTTCCAGGCGATGCTAACAGCTAATCACAGAACATGACAGCAATATTCCAGCACATTCACTGAGTGATGGTGGCACTGAACATGAACCTTTGGGATTCGTCTTCATCTGCGATGGGGACCTAGTTTTTCAGCACATATGACTGCGAATCTCACCTCATTCCAGTTGGGTTCGGTGGTGTAGCGGTAAACCCGCGTCTTGGCCTTGTTCACAAAGTAGCCGAAAGAATCAACCTCCAATGTGCAGTAGAGATCTGGGTGGAAAGGAAGCCATCGGCACAAAGAGAAAGGTCCTCAGAACGTCAAATAAGAAGGATGTTTCACATTTAAAATGTTCAGATAAGATCTATGTGGAAATTCTAGGAAGATCCAGATTCATTATGATCATTTTGGTCCCCTAATTTGTACTGTAAGGCGAGTGGCAGCTTACTTAGGCTCTGCTTTAGGCCAGAAGCTGAATGGACGATCACGTTCAGAAACCCATAGAGTCCAGGATCATCGTCATCTAGGCACAAGGATGGAGAGAAACCAGGTTAAAATAAGGGACAGGGATGCGCGAGCAGGAGCCGAAGGTGCATCTTCCTGCCCGAACGGAACGCAAAGTGCCCCTGTTTTGAGGTCTTAACAGCCTCCTTTCGATCACCGACGATCACATGCATTGCACTAAGGGACCCCCCCCGGGTGGAGCACCTGCTCCTCCAAAAGTCTCCGCACAGCCACGATAGGGGAGACAGACACGCAGGTAAACATGCACATGTGAGCGCGCCAGATGCTCTCCCGTGTTTCACACAGACTAACCCGGTTAGAACCAGGAGGACTGACTTGTTAGATTGTGATGCCTAAACTAGGCCATTTGTCTGGCGCTTTTTCTATCTCCAAATGAAATGAAACACCGCTTTGATCCCATGTATAATAAACATCACGGTAGACAGAACATCTCCACAAGAGAACACGTGAATTACAGATGCATGTTTGTGAGTGTGTGAGTGTGTGTGTGTTTGTGTGTGTGTGTGTAAGAGAGCGAGAACAAACCAGCGAAGATGCTCTTCCAAAGCAGGCAAGTCCCCACAAAACGAAAACTTTTTAATCATAAAATTGAACAAAAGGTGCTTTTAATTTAACGACTTGCATTTGTCCTTTGGGCTCTGCTGCCATGGGTTCAGGAATGTCACGCCGCACTAAAGCGACAGGGGAAGGGAAGGGAAGCAGCTGCAGCCCCAGCATTCATGCCGGTGTCTTGGCCCCTCGCAGTGATGTGTGGGAGTCCTGGCTCTTCTCTAAAGTGCTCTCTGCTTTCCCACTCATCCTGCCACCTACCTTCTTTGTTGGCGGAGAGGGGGATGTGATGATCGGTCTGCAGCTTCATGCATGAGTTGGTCAGCATCTGCAGCTCCATCGAGGACAGCGAGAAGCTTTTGAAACCTGCTAGAGCGACATCCCAGGATTCCCGGTTTAGGTGCGTAGAAATAGAAATACTAGAATGGTAACACCTTTACAGTAGATCCGTGTCTAACATAGTTTCACCTAGTATGCTTCTTACGCTGCAATCTTTCTGAAAAATATGACCCAGCTTCTGATCCATTCTATACTGCTGGTAGATCATGACACATTCATACAGCCAAACAACTGATCAATCTGAGGCTGATTAATTTAATCCGCAGAGAATAATTAATGAAAAAGGCCGTATTCAGGGGACGAGGCCGATGTCCATAAAACCTCACAAAGGGAAATGAAGGGGGTTTAACTATAAAGCAGTCAACTTGTATCTGCTACAAACGTAAGACAATTTAAGTTTAAGCATCACAGAGCAAGCACCAGTAACTCTGCAAGATCTGCAAGGATGCCGAACCAGAAGACGCCCAGACAGCTTCATACGATCGAGAAAAAGGACTGGATCTCTCTTGTGAGCTAACCGACAGTCCCAAGGAGACACCCACACTTCTTCTGCTGCTCACGGATGGTCTCCCTCCACTCCGCCCGCTCGTAGTCTGACGAGATCAGGAACATGTAGCTCTGGAAAGGCAAAGCACCCAGTTTAGGGGCCCCGTCTGTCCGTCACTGTTACGAGGATCCTGCTAAAGCGGGAACCTTTCTTGGCAATTCGGGGACAATGCTCCGCTCTAAGGTACAACAGAGATTCTCACTTTGGGGTACAGGGTAAGAATTTACGTCACTTTTGGCTCAGATGTCTTGCCATCGGCCTTTAAGACAGACTAGCAAGATATTCAACAATCACCGAAGCATTATAAAAGCACAAAACAATACGACTGCTGAATAGGAAGGTATTGCAGTTGCCATGGTGGTTGCCGTGACGATGTCGACGCACCTTGCCGTTGCGATTGTGCACCCGCAGCGCCATGTTGGGCGAGGCCAGCAGAAGGAGTGACTCCTGCTCAGACAGTTTCTTCCTCAGTCGCTCAGCGGCCTTGGTACCCTTGTTGGCCCTCTGCAGACATGCACACACACACACACACACACAAACCAAGGAAGGACACACATTAAATTCAACAAATGGTTTGATGCAAACTTCATCAGCCTATAATACCCAGCCATTGCCTCCTGAAATGGACCCCGCAGGATTTCACCTTTCTCTCTGTGGTAAGATACTCATAAGCTTCCTGTCACATGGTTAGCAGCTTAACTCATGCCACGAGCGCGGATGTGGCGGAGGGCTCTGCCGGTGGCACACCCCACGCGGTCAACCCGGGGGATGAAACCCGAAACCCGTACCTTCTCCCTCTGGATCTCAGCCCTGATCTGGGAGATCTTGACCTTAAGGGCGTCAATCTCCTCGTCCGGGACCTGCGGGATGGGCGGCGGTTCGGACTCGTCGGCAGCCTGAAAGGTCAGGTCAGCCAGGGGGATGTACCACTTGCAGTCATATTGCTGACTCTTCCTGCTCAGAGAAGAGAGAAAGGGAGGGAGATTGGAGCACAGCATACCCAGAGCTGGCAGTGCTGAATATGGGAGAAGACAGACAAGAAAACAGGCATCAAGTAGACAGGGGGGAGGTGTAATTAGACTGCTGAGAGATTAGTGTGACTGGAGGTGGCTTTCAAACGGTCCCCCCCAGCACCCACAAAGGGCAACAGTTCAGGTCCCCGATAGGGACCATGTGCTTGTGGGACACACTCCAGAGAGGAATAAAACACGATGACTGAAAAAAGACACCCCCCCCCCCCACCAAAAAAAAGAATAGCCCATGGCACTGGGATTTCGGGCACACGTGAGCGGGGAGTTCCTCTCCCACAAATAAGGGCTTCTATGATAAAAAGGTGGATCCAAAAAGACTCCGAAGGCCAGGAGGGGGAGCCACTGCTCACCTGATGACAGCAACAGGGCCTGATGTCCTAATGGAGTCCCCCCCCCCCCCCCAATCTATCTACATAACCCACGGATCAATGCTTTCTGACTTCAGGCTCATATGACAAAGGAAGGGGGGTTGTATTGAAGAAATCAATCTTAGAACGCAATGCAGGGGGGTGGGGGGGGGATTAATGGAACTATGGCCAGATGGCTTATTTGTACTAAGACTCTGCCTCAATGAGGGTTAGGAGGAGTGGCTGTCAATCAAATCAAGACTATGGGTGACATGACAGTTGGTCCTGATTGCAGGGGCTATGACAGGAGTAAGAGAAGAGGAGGAGGGAGAGAGAAGAGGAGGAGGGAGAGAGAAGAGGAAGGTTTCCATTTTACCCGCCCATCTGCTTCTTCAGCTTGGCGCAGAGCAGCAGGTCGGTGAACAGAAAGACGTGTCTCAGTTTTCGGTTACCCTCCACCAGCTCCACCATGAAGCGGTCCTTCAGGAGCTGCCGGTTCTGGGGGATCCAATCAGGTGTCCAGTTAACCCATCAATCAACCAGCCCACCAATCAAGACCATGCGTGTCATGGATTAGTTAAGAGACTTGAAAGAACATCACCACTGTTAGCATATGAAATGCAATGTGAATCTCTCTGCCAGAAATAATTACCTTAAATTTAGATCAAAACAAACATGATTTTGCCTTTAAGTATTTTAAATCCACTTCTGTCAGGCAAAGAGAAAATCAGCTTCCAGAAGCTGTCAGCTCAACACTGTATAACATTAAAAATTAAAACCATTAATTATTAATAAATAAGCTCTTGTTCATCTGTTGAACAATTCATCTTATAAAACCATTTCAGGGGCCTCCTTTGATAAAAGCTACAAACGAGAGTCTGATTCACAGCCAGCTGCCAGTAGGGGGCAGTGTTGCCTTGGTGGACACAACAAAATGCCAGACATCTAATGACAGATTCTACAACAGCTGACCGTCTACATCAGAATTCCTTTTTTTGCAAGACAAAAGAAATTTTGCTTTAGCGTGCTTGTTAGTCACGACGTCCTAGGAAACTGAGGGGCTGAATATTTTAAGAAAGCCACTTTTTAAAGCTAACATTCCTATTGCCTCCAAACACACATCGTGTATCATGTCTGGCCTTTTGCAGGCACTTAAGCAGCTGGGATACAAAGGATGACGTCATAGCTGCTGTCAACCAATGACAGCTTAGACGGCCCCTGCCCCCCCGCATCGCAACCACAAAGTCATTACCTCACACAGTAGAACTGATGCTGAGAATTTGTTGCGGGGGTGAATCACACTCGCTGTGGACAGACAGTGGCGGTGTACATGCATGCACGTGGGTTCAAAACAGAGGGCACACAAGGCATCGATAATCCCAGCCCCCCCCCATTCCCAGAAATCCCTGGCAGGCAGGGGCAGGGCAGGGATACAGAGAATCCAGCATTAAACCTGTGGGCGTCGGGGGTCGTCTCAGTGTAAACCTTTCCAGGCTCTGCAATTGATCCAGAAGATTCAGAGACCAGTTGAGGTTATTCCTATACTGCACCCCCCCCCCCCAGACAAAGAAGGGAGGAGGAAAGCAGTGGCCTTCCTGCCAGCCACCAGCATGACATGGTATCCCAGCAGGCTGTGCTTTTGTGACGCATATATAAGATTGTTTGTTTTTTTTGTTTTTTTTATGTTGCTAATCTGTCTTAAAGGCTGATGTGAAGAAGTCTGAACCAAAAGAATCACTAAAGTCACTCTGCCTGATGAGAGATGCTGACAGGTTACAGGAGGGGGGATGTCTGGGGAATAGAGCCCAAGTACTTCATGCCTCATTTTATTTTTTCAGAACTAAAACAAAAACGTGTTTTTCTTCTGTCCATCAACAATCTCCCTCTACATCCAGACCCACATCGGCAGATCCAGGCCCGAAGCCATTTTGTACGAGGCCCGCCAGCACGTCCCCACTCAGATCCCCGTGACGGTAGCACCTAGGGTCTGCACCCGCCGAGACAATCACTCCAGCTTACTGTGTATCATGTAGGAAAAAAAGATGAAGCTTGTCAGTCACTGTAACACAGGACCTCAAACCACCCGCGAGCAGTTTTAGCTTAAGACGGAAGCCAACATGTGACCAGCAGCTTGTGAGGTTAAATCCCAGAGATGATGTGTGCCATGCAATTGAGCAGGGTGTTTTGTAGACTTTGGTAACCCATGTGGCAACACAGGACAGTTCAGGATGGAGCCTCCCAGGCAAACAAGCGGCAGCTTAACCGCAGACTCCGCTGCCATGGCGATGGGCACCAGACCCCAGACTGCCTCCCTTTGTCAGTCTCAGATGCTACAACGCTGGCCTCTTCACAGCCCTGCGTGTGAAATACAATAAGCAAAATAAAAAAATGAACTGAAATGAGCCATGTCAGTGAATCAGTTAGCGAGGATATCAACACCAGCTGGGGTGGGTGGGTGGGGGGCAGGGGGTTACGCTCTGAGTCTCTTGGTAATTGTCTAGCGGAGAGTGGCGTGGCTATTGGAGAAGCGCCCGGTGCAGGCAGAGGGCAGCAGCCGCTTTAGACAGCATAGCGGATCAGCGTCCAGACAAACAAAAGCTCTGTGTAAGAACAGGAACCGCGGCATCACCCACTGCGACCCACATCCCGGGCTCTTTTTTGGGTCAGAAGGCGCAGAAAAGCACCCTGGGAAATGTAAGAGCAGCCAGCATGAAGGGAAATACTCTGCCCCAAGGGGGGCAGCTGACTCCACTGCAAAATGAAGCGGGGGGGTCTATTTAATCGCATCCGTTATTTAACACAATAACACAAAAGAGGTTATGGGGCTCAGTCTCCATGTAACAATTTATCTGAAAAGTCAAATCTCATCCGGGCGTGTGTGTGTGTATCTCTGTGTGTGTGTATGTGTGTGTGTGTGTGTGTGTGCGTGTGTGTGCCTGCACTCGAGCTTAATAAACACAGCAAGAGGTCATGTGTGCAAATTAGATGGGAAAAGGTCAAGTATGGAAGGCGGAGACATTCGATGAATAGGACACTGAGGGGTGAAAGGTCAATGCAGGGAAAGAAGAAATGGTGGGGTGGGGTGGGGGGCTCAACCTTGATGCCCAATCTGTTGCGGGTTTTCTGTGCCCCTCAACATTTCTGTCCCCAAACACAACAAAATAAATTAATCAACCCACATATTTTCCACCGAGACAAACTGTTTGAGAATCTCGTGTTATTTATTCAAAGCACCGGTTCAAATATAAAGACAAAGAGGTAGATTCTCCCAGGTGCTCAAATCAAAAGAGTGTGTAGCTGTGCACTTTTCTCACTCGAGCCCGGGACACAGCAGCTGCATGGCGTGTGCGTGACGCTGCGCAATGTGATGATATTCATTTCTGCACTCATGCTAACAGCTTGTGGCTTTTCTTTTTGTCCTGGGGCCATTCCAGAAAAGAGGAAGTTGCCCAACTTAACAACTTAAGCCACGCGTGCTGTCCAATAGGAGGAGAGATAAGTGACATTCCTATTGGACAATGCTTTCGTTTGGCTTATCCGGCTAATCAAAAATATCCTGCTTTGGGGAATACCCCCCAGGAGTGTATATTCTTGTACATAGAAAATGTTAAAGTTAATGATGCATCGGTTGATGCTGTAAATACACAGACTACTCCGTGTTCTTATTGGTGCAGTGCGATTCGGCGTGGCACCTATTTTTCACGTGGGTGGTAAGCGGTTCTCAGCAAAAAATAGACAGTTAAAAGATCTGTTGATAGTCATACTGACACCTTTCACTATAGCTTCATGTCTAGGAGCAAACAGCTCGGCATCCTGCCCACAGCCGGGCCAGTAAAAGCACTGCAGCGTCCCCAGTGTCATCTTCACTGCGTAGTGCCCAGCCCTGATGGCTCTGCTCCGACTTCAGCAGGACAGGCGCAGGCTCCAGGGCACCAGTAACTGCAGTGACTCCCCTGCACTGGCGATCGCCAGCACCTGTACAGCAGGCCCTCATGCTCCTCCAGGATGTCCCACTGGGAGTGGTAGGTCTTGGTCCTCCTGTCCGAGTCGCCTGCCTTCGTCCAGCCACTCCGTCACCATGACAAGCACGGGGTTCGCTGCACTGCTCCACGATGAGCTGCTCCACGACGAGCCCCCTTGTCTGGCACTGTGCAGGGAGCGGCCAACACTGCAGTGAAGTGGTCCCGCTCCTCTGCCTGGCAGTGGTGGCAACTGCTCACAGTGATGGAGAGCCAGCAAGACAGAGTGTCTGTGTCCCAATGCAGCTTCCAGGGGTGATGCTGGACCTCAAAGGCGAACTCTGCCAGCGGCTCTAACTAGCAGGCCAGCTGTCCCTCGGTGTTGCAGAAGCTCTGGAGCCAGGTAAAGCATTAGATTACGCAGTAATTGCACTCCAGTCTACTTAGCGTTTGGCTGAAGTATGCAGCAATGCGCTCCCCTTCGGGCCCTGCCTGTGACAGCACTGTGCCTAGCCACTTGTTGCTTGCATCCGTGTCCGGAACAAATGGAGGGTGAGGTACCAGGTATGCTAACACAGAAGCATCGGTGAACACCCTACAGATTAAAAGCCATGGTGCAGGCATCCGTCCAGAAAAAAACCCCACTTCCCTTCTCTGTAAGAAAGTGCAGTGGTTTTGCAACGCTGAAGACATGGCCTAGGAAGTCTTCGGAGAAAGAAACTTCCAGGGGTTCATCCATAACCCTGCCGGGTGGATCACCACAAATAAAGCATTAGGTTCTGCAAACCCCCGGTAAAATCGGTGGCAAGTACCAGCAGATCGTCCAGGTAGACAATGCACTAGGTCTGAGGGACAAGGGACAGAACACATTCCATTAGACTCTCCAAGGTGGCTGGGGCATCACACAGGCCAAACGGCATGACCCAGAAGTGCCACAGTCCGTGAACAACAGTAAACACAGTCTTGGGGCAAGTATACGGGGACAGTTCAATCTGCCAGTAGGCCCTCTAGAGATCTAGGGAGCTAAACCACACTTATGTAAAAGTTTATATACAAACAATATACATTTTGTGAAGCCTGACATATCATATATGGATAGGATTCCTTCTTTGTCAGTTCAGTCATCAGTACTTGATGAAAAAACACCATGAATCAGTTTCTATGCCGTCAAGCCCTGGCTGCTGCGCTGCCATAATTCCTGGATAGTCTGTACCATCTCGGGAGATGGCCTTGTGGAGTTGCAACCATGTCTCTGCTGGAGACCATCCCTTGGGAGCTGTGGGCTACTCTCCTCCCCTGCTACACGGATGCCTCTCCTTCTCTATTCTTCTGCCGCTGGTCTCTGACTACCATGTCTGTAGTGAGGTAGAAGGCTGCCCCTGGCACATTGATGGTGGCCCCCCAGGCGGAATAGCAAGTTTCATCATTGCTCATCTCCTCCTCCTTGGCGCTCTCCACAGTGCAGGCCTGGCTTCAGGGTGGATTAACCGCTGTGCCTAGAACTTCCACGGCCACCTCCTCTTGCTATAAAGCCCCCAT